GAGCCCTGAGTGTCAGCATCGCTGCCCTTGTTCACCAGTCAACTTCCAGCCTGCGCCAGCTCCAGGGGATCTGAAGCACAAACCCTACACATGTTTCTGTGGACTCTTTTATCCCATGTAGAGCCCCAGGCTGCTCAGGATGAACAACAACACTGTGTCCCACTGCCCCACAGAAACCCCACAAATGCTCCAGCACATTTGTTCCCAGCTGGAGTGAGCCCACCTAAAGCTGGAATGTGCAGGAACCTGGCAGCGCTCCAGGCGCTGGATGGAGGTAACTGTGCAGCACCTGCCTGGTGTGCCCTGGGTGGGTGGGTGGTCACACAGGACCCTGCGTGTTTGTGAGGTGTTTGTCACCAGCACTCCTACGTACGGGTGTGCACGTGTGCCCTCCGTGTGAGTTGGGCAATGGCAGTGTCTTTTACAGGGGCACCTCTTCTGCCTTGAAGCTGGTGCAGGGGCAGAGAAGACGAAGGGTGGACAGAAAGGCTTAGGCTCTGTCAGCAGGTCCTGTGGCTCCTGTGGAAACTTGGGCTATGCTGCAGCTAAACCAGCTTTGCTGTCAGGCAGGCACAGTGCCCTGATTGCTCCCACACTGGAAGGGGACGCGTGCATCGTGGGCATGAGCTTTTTGGGCAGGTAAGAAAAACAACAACAAAAAAGAAAACATTTTAAAATAATACTGACAGGGCAAGGCAGGACACAAACATATCAGTCTACAGCAAAACAAGAGCAGGTATGAAGATTAAAACAGTAATAATTTCTTTACTGTTCAGTTGTCTATGGAGCAACTAATAGCTGTGATTAATTAATTAAAACATCATTAAAACTTTAAATGAGCTCATGCTCAGTCAGGCAAGAGCATGAGCATTTCAACTAGCAACTTAAATGGGACATTTGAAAACAGTAATCTGCTAATTTTTCCAGATCTTCTAAAATCTTGCATAAAGCAGAAGTCTTGATAGGTCACAGCCTCCCTGCTAGAGCCCATGCTCTAGCTTTCAAGGAGAAGAGGAAGAAGAAATGATAATTTGCATTCTTATGGTTTTAATATTTTCCTAACTTTCTACTGGGCAAACAGTTCACCTGGCTCTGCCAGCGCCTAAGTCACAGATGCAACTAACAGTCCCCATTTGTCGCTGTATTTCCTGAATGCGATGGTGATATTTACAGCCACTTTCCCAGCCCCTTGCCTAGCTGACTTGCTACTGCTGAGACACGGACAGAGAAGCAGCAGAAGGCAACTACTCCAGCTGAGATTTTTGTAACAAATTACCTGTGGATGGTCATCAGACCAACAACAGAGTGAGTCAGAGGAAATTACTGTTTATAGTTGACAGAATGCATGTGACACTGAGCATGTTTGAAAGCAAAGTCCCTGCCTTGAATAGCTTGGATTTAAATGAGTTGAGGCAGCAGAGGAGGAGCGAGGGCAAGCAAAAGCAAGTCCTGCCAATTCATGTTACAGTGCCTGATAATAGGTCACCAAGCAGGAAAGAAAACTCTGCCTGCATTATCAACATCAGGGCTGTGTCATGTGTCAGTGACTTATTTCCTGGAGATGTCTCAAAACACAACCAAAGCCTATTTAAAAGGGAACCTAGCTCCTGCTATGATGCAGATAGGACATTCTATTGTGTTTCCATGACTACTGGTTGAGAAGTTCAGCTGAATGAGTCCAAAAATGTCAAGTATTTCTGCAAAAGACTTGCAGATTGTACATGTGGCAGGCACCATGCACAGGCGGCATGGATGGATGGAAATCCAGTGTCCCTGGACTTGGGATATGACAAAGGAAAGAAGTAATCTTGAGTATTTATGCATCAAGTTGGAGCCTCTCGGGTAGGAAGGCTGCAAAAGCGAGTAAACAGAAAATGTCACAAACCATCGACCTAATAGAAAAGCTCCCATCAGAAGGGTGTGTGTGCATGTAGAAGTAGGGAGGGAGAGGAATAATTCTAATTAGGTCACAGGGACCAAAAGATAAAAACAGGACAATCTTATCTAATACCTGCGCTGTCACTACACAAATGCCAGGACAGAGGATGAACGACCAATTAAAAGAGTTTTTACGCAGCTCATTATGACGACAGAGGATTTGTGGAATAAAATCCCTAGATTAGTATGTTAATAAAAACCTAAAGAAAAATTGAAGGGGTAAGCACTGAAGCTACACCACAAGAGCTACAACAAAAGCTGACTGCTCAAGAATAAAAGAAACAATGTTTTGATAAGAATTAATTATCTGCTGGAATAGCAGCACAGTATGAAACAAACAGTCCACTGAGTTCTTGCAATAGTTTACGTAAGTTACAGGAATGGCTTTAAGTCAACCATGATTACTAGGGTGAATCTGGTTAAGACCAAAAACATGTATGGAAGCCAAACTTGAAACAAGCTTGTCATTCTGGAGGAAGGAAAGAGTAAACAGCAAAATGAAGATGTTCCTGCATATTTCAACATATTCAGAACTATTAAATAGCTTCCTGTCAGGATAATCCTCTGAAGAACAACAAAAAAATGTGGAATGTTCTTATTAACACTAAATAAACACCAAAAGTAGATCAAAACACCTGACCAGAGAATATTCAGCAGCCTCTTTGCTTCAGTTGACAAAAAGAGCAAATTCTGACAGGCAGGAACATGAAAAAAGCCAATTCCAGAGTATCTCCCTCAGCTACACTTGTTCTGCTCCACTAGTTAAAACAAAAGCATATGAGTATATTCAAAGACCAGCAGACTTGAAAAACCAAACCAAATAAAAAACTTAAGACATTTATGGAAGCCTGAAAAAGATTTGTATGCTTTTGTTATGCTAGACAAGAACAAAAAGGCAATACATAAATCAAACTACTCTAGAACTTGACATCAGTCAGGGAATGCAGGAAAAAATATAAGTTGATTTACTGAGCTATTTTAACCCTGTAAGTATGTACATCAAGAGACAGACCACAAATGGTAGGAAATCCAAAACTCAATATCACTGTGAAGAAACCATCTGTGAAGGACATAAGCACATACAGAAGTGATTTAACTGAAAAATTATTTTACACACAGGAAGGAAAATGACATTTTTTCATACTGCAGTCAGAGTAAGCAGTAACACCAGAAGGCATAAAAACAATTTGTAAGCTAACCAGCCAAAGATCAGACCTTGTTAAAAATGTACAACTAATTTGTCCAGTATTTACAGAGATTTTCATTATTCAAAGCAAATACAACCCTTCACGAATTATTTGATATAGAGTATTTTAAATTAACACTGAAAACTAAAAAGTGATTTTGCATGTTCCTTCGTTAGGCTACAGTCTGCAATGGGTAACTTGGCTAAGACGCTCAGTGATATATATATATATATATAAATTTCTCATAATTTTACAAAGAAGCAAACCAAAAAGTTGCCCTTGTAGCTGCAATTCTAAGCAGCAAAGTTTATTTGGAATATTTCTAAAAACAACTTTCAACGTCAAATAGTAAAGGTTCTGTTACAGATGTCATCTGAGCAAGCAGCAAGATGTAAATTTAAAACATACAGTATATTTTTCTTTTGCATTAAAGATACAAGATTATACAGTTAAGCATATGGAAGCCCGTAAGACAAATCAGCTTACCACAAAAAGGAAAAAATAAACCAAAAACCAAAATGTTCCTGAGAATTTTAAGATTGCAGGATTGCAGTAAGGACTCTCATTTTTCAAAAGGTCAAGAGAGATACTTCAGACAGTGGCTTCAACCCTCTGAAGGACAGCCACGCTAGTATGTGGCTCACTTCTGAAGTGTTCACAAGAGAAAAGTACAAACGAGATCTTGTTGCAATAAGGATTAAGTTTACTAACCATAGTTACTTGTACCTATGCTGGAATTCCTGCCCTCGCCCACTCCCTCTCCTGCCATCCCCCCAAAAGCTGTCAGAAAGATTTGCAGCCCACTGATTCACATTTACACATTCTGATGTAAGACAAAGGTAAAGCTGTGTAACTGAAGGATTTTGGAAGAAATGCTTCATCATGTTAGTAAAAAAAAGCTCAGCACCTTGCAGATCAAAGAATATTTAACTACTTTGTTTGGCTATTAAACACAGAAACAAAAGTCTAAGAAGACAATGATGAGGAAAAACTTGAACATAACATTGAAGAAATACTCAAATAACATAACTGATGTTGTACTACAACATTTTACTTCATTAAAGTACAGAAAATGTCACCCATCCTATGATTTATAAAGTACACAAAATATGTACATAGAAGAAACCAAACCCCATCAAAAGATGATCATATTTGTGCATATGTACATAGAACATACACACCTAAAATGTGCAAATTTCTTTTAATGCAAGTTAAACAAAACATTTGCAGGATAAGAGTTGTACAATGATAATGGAAGAGTATTCTAGATATTCTAATGGTGTTCCATATCTACAGCCAGTGCAAACTTACAAGGCACAAACTCAATGCTGATGCTGTAGTGTTTTAAGTTACATTCAGGCACATCTCCATTTGCAGTTCTGCAGAAAAAGGAGCAATGGAAGTGCTACTTCTATACTAAACTGCCAGCCTTCTCTCCCAGTTTAAGCACTAAATTGATGTAACCTATATGCTACAGTTACCAGTGGGGTTCAGGGTTAATTTATCACTGGAAAGGCTGTGGCTAAAACATCTGTTCTAATCTCCTTGCATGTGAAGCATGCTATTTCCCAAAATACCTCCCAGACATTCTCCAAAGACTACATATACCTTGCCAGCCTCAACATACGAGATCTTAGAGGACATTACTAATGCTTTTTTCTAATTTCAGTCAAAACTTCACCAGGAAGAGAGTCCAGATTTTAAAAACCAAAACAACAATAAAACAAATCCAAACAACTCCCCAAGAAGAGCCAGCAAAACACCCTCTGAGTTACCTGCATTTAACAAATTTGTGTTAAATTGCATAGTGACAGTGTGTACCAGCTAGTAAAGAATTAAAAATAAAAGCTTGCTGTTTAAGGCAAAATTTTATTGCATTTAACAAATTGTGTTAAATTGCATAGTGACAGTGCGTATCAGCTAGTAAAGAATTAAAAATAAAAGCTTGCTGTTTAAGGAAAAATTTTAACACAGCATAGCAGAAAAAAAAGCCAAATAACAGGTCCATCAATATTTAATCAAAGTACTGGCCTATGTAGTCTTATCCTCACAGTGTCTTCTTTCTTACTTTTAACAGCAAACCCACACTTGCAGCATGCTTGATTAGAAAGTTTTGTTACATTTTCCTAAATGAAATGAGAGCAATTAATACATATGCTGATTGACTCATATTGAAAACACCTGACAAATACGTTCTCTCCCATCCCTTAAAAAGGTTTTTCACCTTACTGGGAGGTAAGGTCAAAACCTAAAACTCACTGGTATCCAGGTCTAATATACTACCTAATATGGAACTAGTAATTTAAAGCTTTCTAGTATTTATTAGACATTACCACATCACTTTGCTGTCTCACCCTAAAATTGCATTTTTGTATTATTTTTTCAATAGAAGACATTTAATAGACATCTGAGGAAAACAATACAATACAAAAGCTTACAGGTCTTTGCAAAGGTATCTTCTATTCCTTCTGCAAAGTAAGAAAGGGGTGATTTTATTGGCATTTATTTGAAGTGCCATCAATAAAGACACAGGAATACTTTAAAAAGAAAAAAAAAGAAAGTTCTAACGCTTCACACATATCTTTGGTTTAGCCTTCCTGACCAAAGTCTTCTGTAAACTTCTTTAACTTCTCCAAGTCCTGTTCATTAACTGTTGGTTTTGTGCTAGCAAGCGACCTGAGCATATCACCCTGTCAGAAAAAAAAACAAACATGTTTTCAGAAACAAGTATAGTACTAGTGCTAGCAATTTTGCTACCAGGACAAATATGCATTAAAAAAATCATTAAAAAGTTTCTATTAACATAAAACTTTAAGTAAGCCTGAACACTTCTGCACAGAGACAGCCTTTTAATCCTCTGAATGCAGACAACAGTCAATGAGTTTTCCAGTAACAAAATCAGAACCTCAGGTTTAGGTTTAAGCCACTCATCCATTCAAGTTTTGTTAATCTATTTTTTTAAAAGAACTGAACTTTTTTTTGTCAGTTACTATTTTCAATCCATGATTAATTACAGTAGATTAAGTGGAAAATAATCAGATGTTCCCATGTACTCTTCACAGTCCAGCAATGCAGAACAACAGTTTGTGATTAATCTCTAGCAGTTTTACTGCTCCTGACTGGTAACTTCTGTCTCTTCAACTCAGTAAATTTCCTAGATGAATAGTTAGATGCTAGGAAATGGAGTTTAGAAAAAAATTCATAGGTCTATGAAGTTGAAAACAGCAGTTAAAACACAATATGAATAAAAAGGGTAAAGAAAACGAAACAATTCCCAGCCAACGGCAGCTGAAAAAAGTAGATGTCCAACACCTCATATTGCTATAAAATTACAGGCAATATCCAAAAAAATTAGTATAATGGTTTTCCACACATGACATTTGTCTCATCAGACCAGAGGCATCCTGCCTCAAAACGAATTAAAGCCTTATGTTTTAAGGCAAGAAGTGATTTTGGACACTGAAACACCTGCCTGTAGTGCATCAGAGCCCAGGTACCATTAGGAGCACACAAGGAACTTCTGTCTTTAATTCCAGGAAGGACTGATTAAAAATCCAATTAAACCATGCAGAGAGAAGTTTTAGGGCAGGCCTGCACCTGCATAAATCCTCTTTTGCTTCCTCAGTGTGCAAATACACACAGGAAATTCTTTTCTGGAATACAGTGATCCCCATGATCACATTGATTTCCTTCACTCCTTACAAGACTCTTTGCACACAGGAAACTACAGCAACACAGATTTGTTTAAATGCTTCCCACAAACTCTGTATTTAAATATAAAATTTTCTTCTGCTGCTCCTGGGGAAAAATACAGAATGAGTATCCAGCAATTATTTTTTTTCTTAAACAGTGATCTAAAATTGAAAACTGTCTTACATATTTCATTCCCTAGGCCAAAGCAAGTAATTTCATATGCACAAAGAAAACAGCAGAAAGAGCTGTATCACCTATAATAAATTTAAACCTAAACTACCATTATATTAAACATCTTCTTACATTTTGGTTTTATATTTGTATCTATTTCATGGGCAATATCTACCTATAGAACATCACTTCCCAATTTACAGTAAATGTAATTTTCCACTTCCCAGTATTAATGCCACAGTGATGAGAAGAAAGTGCATCATGGTGCAGGAAGCCTAAAGGTTTTGAATGAATAAAAGCCAAGTGAAAGAACAGTGCAAGAGGCAGATACTGTCTATGGATGAAAAGATGGCAGCTGCATGCCAGCAGACAAGAATAAAAAATGCTTATCAGGGATAGACAGCTGTCTTTTTCATAGCATGCCATACTGTAGTGATTTATGTTGAGAATTCAAATGTTATCTGGTATGCCCAGGATTTCTGAAAACAAACACCTCATCTGATTGTCCTGAAAAAGACTCTTTATCTTAAAGTGTTTTGAGAGTTCTGCAAAATAAGAAAGAAATGCTACAAGGAATACCTACCATGGAAACTCTAGGCTCCAGTAATTTATCACCTGGGACCTCCATCCATGTCATTTCTATGGCACCAGGATCACCTGGAGAGCAAGGGGTGAATAAATCTACCATCGTATTTGGATTAGACACTGATGGTCCTTTTACCTGAAAATAAGAAAACAGTCAGTTTATGGGAGTTATTATTTTGAAGACAGAAACCAGAAGCTGAACAGCACCCCAAGCAAAAACCATCCCTTGATTTTATGCAGATGCCCTATCCATTGGGAACACATGTCCTGTGAAAGAGAAATTGTACAAGTGTACTGGTATTATTCACCTTGAAAACATGCAGCTGTAGCCAGATACTTAAATTCGCATCAGGTCAAATCCCAGAAGCCACATCCTCTTAAGGCTGAGGATTTTTGTGCAAAACTGACATGACAGGAAATCTGTTTGGTGAAGACCACCCTTCCTGGTCCCCAGTCACTTTAGGATTTCATTCATCGCTAGTTAACAGCTCTCTAAAAGCTTCCCAGTGCTTTTCCCTCTGACATCCTGCCTTCCCAAGCTCCCAGCACTTTTCCCGGCACCACCTGAGCAGCGCTCCCTAGAAAACAGCGCCACCTAGCGGGAGAACAAACAGCTTTTTTTTCCCCCCGCGCCAGACAGACGGACAGACCCAAAAAAAGCTGCCCCGTGCATCTGTTCCCTTTGCGCAGAACACTGTCCGGTACCAAGGATTTTGCCTTCCCCCGCTGTTACCTGCAGCTCCGCACACCCACGGAACTGGGAGCACACACAGAGGTTAGAGCACAACACGCTACTATGGACAGAGCGGGATTGGCTGCTCCAAGCTGGATTTATTTAGAGCAAGATGCTGGGGAGCAGATTGTAATATTCAAAATGCACTCTGGCAAACCTGCACTATCACAGATGGCAAGGAAAGGTTTACAGTTAATTACTGACAACTGAGGAAAGCTCTGCTGAACTGAGGCAAGTCGTCTGTTATAACACAAATAATAACGCTAAGATTTTGCTTACACAAAATCCCATCCAATTAAAGTATTAACAATACAAGTGGAATCAACCTGGCTCATGTCAGAGTGTTCAGAGTAGTGCAGTTTTGGGGTTTTTCCTTCCTTTTTTTTATTTTCTTAAGCAGAAATAGTTAAGATGGAAGGAGTTCTTTCGAAGTTGCTCCACAAACTGTGACGACTGAGGTTATTTCATTGCTCCATGGCAAGCTGAAACATGCCTCAGATTGCTCCAAATTTGAACTAAACACTAAAAGCTAACAGCCCTTTAGCCAGAAATGTCATTGTCACGTAAAGTTAACAACAGATAAATACTTCAGACATCACTGCTTAAGGGAAGGAAGCATCTAGAAAATCCTTGATATATCAAAGTCACTGTTTATTTATCAACAAATACAGCTTACATCACGTTGTTACTGTGAGTTGTCCTCAGAAGTTAAATTTCCTGCCCTCTCATATTCTGGACCATACTGGATTTAAGTGTGTCTTTCTCTTTGAGTCTTAAGCTGAATGAGTTCATTGGAAGAAACCACATTGAAAAAAAGGAGCCTATCTTCAAAGAGAGCGAAGCTGTTCTGTTCAGGACCCTTAACCCTTTTATGTCAGGTTGAGTTGCTGGTAAAGAAACTGTAATTGTAACTGAGAGACAAAGAACTGCTGCCAACACAACATACACGGTACTCCACACCTTAGGAGTTTTTCCTACTACACCTGCTCTTTTAAGAAACAACAAATTAAGGCTTCCTTCTACAGCAATTAGCACCTCTGCAGAATATCCTGACCCACCTTCACCCAAAACCCATGAATTTTTGCAAAAAACAAAGTTTGCACTAAAAATATTAACAAAAAGTACCTTTAGTCTGGGTCTGCTTTAAAATATGATACACAGCAAAATAAAATTTTATTTAACTGATACACATTGTAGGTATTTTAACCTCTGTTTATACCATTGATACTATCACTCCTTTTTTTTCCATTTAAGAGTTTAATAGTTTTCAAGGAACAATAAATTTGACTGAACAAGGCCCATCTGTGCAAATTCTCCAGGGGAAAGACATTCCCAGATGTAATGGATTTAGACTGCTGGTAAAGAATGCCAATTGGTTCTTGTACAGACAAAGTTTCTGAGATTCAAATATTGTGAAGAAACATTACTTAAATCAATACATAACATGTAGAAGTAACTGGAAGACAAGCCAAACAATATAGTTTGAATAGGCTCTTTGGTGTGTACCTATGTAAAAGTAAACTGGTTTTTACATTTCAGCAGTGTAAATGAAACACAGACCTCGCTCAGTTGTGTTGCATCTTTACTACTGTAATTGATTCAATGTTTCTACCAGAACTCTACAAGAACCTTAATTTTTCAGTTTGAAAAATATGCCAAGTAAACAGAATGTGCTTAAGTACAATCCATCTGTTCTCAAGTGGATGAGGGATACTTTTTTTTCCCAGCATGTTAAGAACCACTTAACTTGAAATTAAAAAAAACCCCACTTCTGTAACATTGCCATTTAAACGGCAAACTGAATGCTTTTAACACTCTCTAGAGACATTTAAGAGTCAGAGCATGAATATTCAGAAATTAGCTCCTCCAGACTTATGGCAGGACTAGGGAGGGTATGGGGAATGGAACAGTTCTCCCCAGCCAATAAAAGGGACATTCATAAGCATGCAGTATTATCCAAAACCAAATTCAGTTTATTTGTAAGGAATTTTCAAATTAAGACTGTTCTCATAGGTGCAATAACTTGAAAAATTTTGATTCCTACTTACTTTTTTAAAGTGAGTCGCTGATTGCACTTTTCTGACAGGCTGCATCAGTGCATCACGGACAATGATGCTTATATCTGCACCAGAATAGCCATCAGTTCTCTTCCCAAGCTCCCGATAATCTGAGTCTTTTAGGTCATTTGGAGTTGACCCAAGGTGAAGTTTGAACATTGCAGCCCTGGCGTGGTCTTCAGGTAAAGGAATATAAATACGCTTCTCAAACCTGGTTTAAAAAAGACAAAAACAAAGCTCCCAAGATGCCAACTCATGCAGGTGCACAATGGAAAGATCTCATGCAAATGAGCTTGCTTCTAGCAATATTAGAAAGCAGTTTCAGTACAATAAACCTTTAAAAAAAATCTGATGCAAATATTCAGCAACTTGTTCTCACAAATAATACTTTAGTTAGTACAACCTAATATCCAGAATGTAACAACTGCTTCCTTTCCATTACAAAATCCTTCTCTCCAGACTGACGTTTTTCCAGCACAATTTGAGTCTTAAAAGAAAAAACTGAGAGGAAGAAGTCTTTAAGTGTTAAAGTGTATTTGAACAGATTTCACACTCAAAGAAAGAAATGCCTGATAACAAGTTTATGCAACAACTTTCTACAGGATCCAACTAAATTAAGAAAACACCATACATGGAAGTAAATTTGAAGTCATTCTCAAGAAAATATTGGTAACAGCAGTTCCTCCTTTGAAGCAGCATCTGTTCTCAGAGTGGAGATAACTCTTACCAACGAAGTAAGAGCAACTCCAAATTCTGCTGAACACAATAAACCTGATATACATGACAAAGTGGCTCAAATCCATGAAAAATTAATTTTATTACAGCCTTTGTTGTACAAATTCCTTTAAGTCTTGTGGGCAAGAACTAGGGAATTTCTCTTTCGTGTTGCTGAGAATGAGAAAATGGTTTGGGTTGAGAGAAACCTTGAAGATCGTCTAATTCCAATCCCTGCCACAGGCAGGGAGACCTTCCCCTAGACCAGCTTACTCAAAACCCCATCCAACCTGGCCTTGAACACTTCCAATGATCCACAGCTTCTCTGGGCAACCCATGCCAGTGTCTCACCACCCTCATCATAAAAAATTTCTTCCTTATGCCCAATCTAAACCTATCCTCTTTCAGTCTGAACAACTGCCCCTTGCCCTGGCATTACAAGCCTGGGAAAAAAACACTGAACATCTCTCCACCCTTCTAGTAAGTTCCCTTTATACACTGAAAAGCCACAATAAGGTCTCTCTGGATCCTTCTCTTCTCCAGGCTGAACAGCCCCACTCTCATAACCTGCCTTCAGAAGAAAGGCATCCTGATCATTTTCAGGGCCCCCTTCTGAACACACTTGATTAGGTCTGTGTGTCTTTTACTGTGGATCCCAACCAAAGCTGGAATTTCAAGAATGACTTGAAATTCTCAGCAATACCTTAACTTTTAAATCTGGCTCATACAACTCTAGAGTCATGCAGATGAGAAGTGACATCCGGAGGTGACCTGGTCCAACCCCAAATCAAACTGAAGTATGGCCAGCTTGAATTCAGTACATAAATAAAAGCCAGTGTCAGTCATAAAAAAAAAAAGAATCAATGAGTCTTTAGCCAACAAAAATGGCCACTATCCAAGCTGCGTCCTCATCACAACATAATCCTGTTTGTCACATAACTCTATCTGTCCTTTACTTGCTCTGCAGCTCAGAGAAAGATCCAAATAATCAGGTACAGGCAGTCCTGTATCTGCAAAAGTCCTTTATCTGCAAAACCGCAGTTAAAAAATTACAAGTTAAGCCTGACCAGTAGAAAAACATGGCATTTCTCCATAAGGTTACACTTCCATGAAAAAACTCAAGCTACTCACCAGTTTGTTAACAGCTGAAAAGGAAAGCTCTACTCTCTCCTGCCCTTCTGAGTTGTGTATTTTCTAACTTGTCCCCTAAGGCCCCAGAAAACCAAAAAGCAAGCAGAAAACTGTTTCTTCAAGCATAATCATCTAACCAAGAAATCAGATAAACTACAGAACTGAACAACTTACCTCTCTCTAAAGAGGCAAGTGACTATCAGTTTAGCTAAGTCTACCTCACGGAATTGAGTTGCAGAACATTAAGCACTTCTGCAAACATGAGCTGGATGAACACCTTAAGCACTCTCTGGCTGAAGGCTCACATCAGTTGTGAATTGGACACCATGAAAAAAATGCCATCATACCTTCTTCTGATAGCAGAATCCAAAACCCAGGGTATGTTTGTTGCTCCTAAGACCAAGATTCCTTCATTGTCAACACCAACCCCTGTATCAGGGCAGAAATAATTTCACAGTTTAGATGATAAACAGAGATTGTTTTAAAAAGCCATCAAAATTTAATGAGGTGGAACTGCAGATATTTTTAGTATTCTAATGCAAGTTACACTTAAAAATATATGCCTTAATTTCTCTGTCTGATTTTGAAAACCAAAAAAACTTACCTTGCATCTGGACTAGAAATTCCGTTTTTATCCGTCTAGCAGCCTCACTTTCATTTTCACTTCTTGACCCACAGAGGGAATCTATCTCATCAATGAAGATGATAGAAGGTTTGTTTTCTCTGGCAAGCTGGAACAAGTTTTTCACTAATCTTAAAGAAGGAAACAGCTTCAGCTATATTAATAATTACAACAGCAGAAACACATAACTTCAGATTTTGATATAGTAATTTCCTTTAGATAAAGCAAGGGGAAAAAGCATTAACATAAAGCTACTCAAAAAAACAACATTCTTCCAGCTCCATGACTCAGAATTACACTGAATGAGAGAACCCAGCATAATGAAAAAAAAAATTATAGTGCTCCAGGGATGATTTCTCAAAATAAAGCCCCTTTTCAGTTTACACTTCTACATGACAGCCTATATAAATGGACTATACAAAACCACCAATTTAGAAAGCTTTTTTCTTTTGAATCTTTCTCTAAACATTTCTAACTCAAATTAATTCTAGAGATTTTGTAAGAAATAACATGTATCTTTACTTTATACAACATTACTTACTAAATAATTTTTGTATGACAAGGAATATTGGTTTCAAATCAAATAAACAAGACAACCTAAAACAAACTCCATATACTCTTAACCATCTCTCATGAACACACTTTACTAGTTGCAAAAAGAAAAATAAATAGGAACGCACTGGGAAATTCTTCATATTACAGCAGTAAATCTCAGGCAATAGTCTCAAATGAATTCAAGCATAAAATCTAATGCCAAGCTAGCCTTCAGTTCTGTATTAATTTTGCAACAGAAGAAAAGCAGCTTAAGGTTTCCAGCTTTCTGGAGAAAAAAAATAACTCACTTCAAACACTTTATCTAATAGCCTTTCTTCCTCATTCTATCAGCTTTCAGTAGTGTTGCTCAAACTATTAAATTAAATTATGACAAGTATGCTTATCATTATATGAAATCCTTTCCCTATAAACCCAGAGCTTTTTATTAATTCAGGAAATCTCTTTTGGAAGACTAGATGGACAAATTCCTGGACTTCTAGACTGCAGCCATGTCACTCATGGTCTTCTGGCTTCCAGGTCTTCTTCATACATCACGCAGTAACAAATGAAGAGTTAGTATGAGCTCTGTGGTGCTCCCAAAATCTTTCTGAGCACTGAAAAGAGTTTCTCAAAATGCAGCATATAATAATATCGTTACATGGCACTGCAGCATGAAGCATAGAAACACCTATAGTTGGTTTTTAAAAAGACAAGACCATTCTCTTAAATTCTTCATGGCAACTTATCTCTATAATTATTTCCTCTCAACAATGTTTTCCCAGACCTCTGGCAACTCCAACTTACTTTTCACTTTCACCTAGCCATTTTGAGACAAGGTCAGATGAAGATACTGAGAAGAAGGTAGAGTTGTTTGCTTCTGTTGCCACAGCTTTTGCTAAATAAGACTTTCCTGTTCCTGGTGGTCCAAATAGAAGAATCCCTCTCCAGGGTGTTCTCTTGCCTGCAAGAGAGAAACCAGAAGTTTTCAAAACACTATTTTCTGAGTATCCTCCTGTAGGGTGCTCAGAAGTTTTCCACATTTACCCACAAAACTTCTGTCAGATTGATCAAAATCTCTTTGTTAAGAGATCTCTTGAGTCTGTGATACATTGGCATAACACACTTCACAGACCCCACTGCCAGTCCTGGCTGGCCAATAGCAAATAAATGCTGTAATCCTGACCTGTAAACAGGTGTGGAAATTTAATGGGAAGGATGACTGCTTCTTTAAGTGCCTCTTTGGCACCTTCAAGGCCAGCAACATCACTCCATTTGACATTTGGTCGCTCCATAACAATTGCTCCTGTAAGAAAAGATTGTCTAAGTTAGTGACGTACATATATTTTCAAAATTACAATAAATTCCATTTGGTGAAAAAAGAAATCTACACCCATGTCTATACTGAATAAAAACAAGGCATTTCTAAGATGATAGGAACACTGAATTCCATTAGTCAAATGGGTGTTATTTTTACAGATATCTGTCACATTTTTTAACCAAAATAAACCATGGATAACCAGAACATTTGTGAGTTAGTAGAAGTCCTGGTACCATCTCATAACTAAACCACCACTGCACTTCCCAAAAAAAATCAAAATTTCCTTTTAAACAATGTAGCTGTACTAGCTCAGGGATTTTTAAGATTTTCCAGCAGATGAAGTAACTTGTTGGTATCTCCAGACATGCTGCAAACAAATGGATAATCTAATGGAAAAGAGGTTTGAGAGCTAGGGCGAAAAGCATCAGAAAGGTTATGTGGATCCTGCCTAGCTGCAGAAGTATTTTCTTAGTCAAGGCACATTCAAAGTTTTGCACCAAGTCTCATCCTCCTCAGTCAATGAGTTCAGCCAACTGAGCTTGTAATTCAGCCTTCTCTTCAGATTGGTTAGTCTGGTGTGCCAAAAATTTTGTCTCAACTACTTCTAGATGGGAAAACTTGGAACTCAGGTAGTAATAGGTTATTAGACCTATAATATTAGATCTTGTAATCCTAGCCACTACTTCTACTCTCTGAGGTCAGATTCATGTGGGAAGAAACAAAGTTTGAATAGTGAGAGGATAGGAGTTTAAGGCTCATCAATTATCTGTTACTTTTAAAAACCCAGGAAACTGTTTCTTATAACTGTGCACAGGATTAAATAATGTGCAGAGAAGCAGAAAAAGCATAGCACAGTTTCCAGTGGTGATACAACAGCTCCTGAAATTACACAGGCACAAGATCTGGTAAATGCATTTGATCTTTGTTACAATCAAAACCAGGAAAACAATGAGGTTTCTTCAGATCCATAAGCACCTTCTGTTAGGGAAGTTCTGAACAGTTCTTCATTACTAAAGGGAAATAAATATCAAAAAGCCTCCTTTTTACTGCACACCAAACTGCTGGTAACTGCTATACATTGCTTCACTGACTGTGTTCTGTACTTGAGTGCAAAAACCCAAACTATGCTACTGAACTGGGACAGCATCATCACTGCATATAAGAAAATGCTGCCTGTTATTATAAATGGGCAAGAATCCATATTTCTTACTCCTGAACATGAATACCAGTCTTTTTGTGAAAACAGTCCTGCTTACACTATGTATTTGGATCATCACTTCCTTAGCCTCTAGGCAATATGCTAGTGCACTTCAGAGTAAAAAAAAACCTACTAAATCAGTTTAACAAATAGCTACCTGGGATTTTGTAACTTCTGTTGGAAAATGCTAGCCTGATAGGTGATACAATTTTAACAAGAAGCACAGGGTGCAGGAGATGCATTTCAATATAGCGACTGTGTAAGTTCATGGCACACTAGTCCTTTTACTTCCATAAAGACTATGCTTTTGCACTTGAAGATTACATGCTAGCTGAGCCACTTACAGATATTAAGTTATTCCATAAAATTTAGATGGCAAAAATATAGGAACTTGCTTGACTGAAGTAATCCCTATTTAAAGAAAAGGATGCTTCAAATTACCTTGAAGTTGATTCTGTAGCTTCTTTTTTTCAGGGTCCTCTGATTCCCCTTCCCCATCACTGTCATTCCTGATTAGGAAACAAAATGTTGAAATACAATAAGGGAGACTTCTGTCTTAGCATAAAAATCAGAACGCAAAAAGCAGAAAACCCATCAGGCTGCGGAATTAAATAAACACTGAGATGCTTCCAGCCTCTAAAGGTTTACATGACTGTAGAAAAGCAGAAGTACACTTTCCTATGATTTCTTTCCAGTTCACCCTCCTCTGCCATTTCAACTTCCTCTTATGGGTCTGAGCCCTCTTAATACACTTCTGTGTGCTTTGAGACTGCTGTTAGGAAACGCAGCCCTTATATCCAGCAACACAGAGGTGCTGGAATGGTTTGTTTGTAGACATTGGCACTTCTCCTCTATCTGGACATGCAACAGGACTTGGTCAATTCCATCTAGTACTGTGAAACTCTCATCAGAGCAAAGGAAACTGGAAGTTAAAGGAAAAGAGACTAGAGAGGGAACAACTGGAGTGGAGGTCATGAAAATACACGTAGCCTTCGTGGTTTTACCATTTCCTTCTAGTATAAATAAGCAGGAGATGATACAGCTCAAAAATTAAGGCTGATGAGATGAGCAGACATTGAAAAAGACTGAAAACCAGGTGAAGTTTTAAGAGACAACTGAGCAACTTCAGCTGTTCAGGACTCCTAGAAAGGGCAGTCCCACCAGAACGTACAATCTTGAATCCTTCCTCTTTCCTACCCCCATAAAGGAAGTAGCAAATGCAAAAGAGGCTGGGCTTGTTTGGGAGGCTCTGCTTGTTCAACTCTCTCATATGCAAAGTGAGAAACAAATCCAAGAGAAGGATAGCAGTGGAGGGACCAGGCAGCAGCAACACATTGGAAGGATTCACTCCACCTTACAGAACTTTACCCTGCATAGGGCTTTTCATCTCTTATCAAGTGTCAGATCAAACTGAGTAACCCCAGTAATCACCAGTCTGAAATTATTTTGTAGTTACTAAGTATTTAAATGGAGAAAGCCTTTGAAGGCCATTAAATCCAACAATCATTGGATTCAGCTGTTAGTCTGAGGCAGCTTTCATTCTTCAGTGAATTTCCTATTGAAATGTTCACATTTTAGTAAACAAGCACAGAAATGCTTGTGATTGTAATTCAAGTTATTTTTATTAGCCCACTGTAGCATTGTAATCATCTGAAGCATTTCAGAAACACAAGTGAAATTGATCTTTGAATAGTTGAAGTTTAGAATAAGCTGAGTTCAGGAAGTATTTTGCTTTACCTTCTCCAAAAACATACCCTTTTCCTTCAGCAGGACCAGACTCTTTAACTGGTTTTGGTGCAGTTTTTTCTCTCTTTTTCAGATATTCTTTCAGCTTTTCTGCTCGGTCCAAGTATTCTGTACATTTTGCTCTAATGCTTTGTTTTGCTTTATCACCCTGCGCTTCATCTGAGAGTTTGAAGAGAAACAATTCTTTGTTAACAGCAAAACACATCTGCATCAATCAAAAAACAAGACTAAAGATCTGTCTTCTTTATCTCTTATCAATATACCTCTCTCAGGGCTCACGACGTAACCAAACATCTCAGCTACTTATTTTTCCACTATACCTTGGAAAGAACTGACCAGAAGGATGTCATCATGTAACAGAAATCAAATATTCACCTGAACATTGCCTTGCCTTAAAATTTGACTCTAAAGGATTAAGGACAACAGCACTGGAAGCTTTTCTGTCAGCCTTTCAAGCTGCTAGACATTGCCTCAATAACTGCTTTTCTAAAATAGCTAATCAAGAAGCTGCTTATGCTAGGCAATTTTTATTTAGAACCATACTTGATTCTTCCATAGCCTGCTAATTTTAAAAGATAAAGAAACATTACATAAAACATCTCAAAGAACTCAGTGTGTTTGAACAGCCATGCTGTTCTCATAATCACAATTACAGTATTTCAAACCAACAATCAAAATTTAACACGTCAGATTTTTGAGCTAAATTTCCAAAAGTACATCAATATTGTTAAAAGCATAGAAAGTGATATTCTGAGAAAGTCTGTAAGATTTAAATGGACAGGAAGTGATAAACACAGATTATCCTAATAATAATGGACTATAAAGAAAACTATTTTTTTCAAACCATGAAGATCTGTAAGTGTACTTTGGTCAGGCAAGCAACTCTAACCCACTTACATTAGGTCTGTACCCACTTTAAGAAAGCCCACTTCTTGCATACAAACACTGAATGTGGCACAAAAGGTACACAGAAGTGTGAAAAGGCATAAAGTAATGAGAATATGGAAACTGAAGAAAAATTGTTACATACAAGTCCATCTCATACATTTTCTCGGCCAAGATAAACAGCAAGACTATGACATTAGGGAGCAAAAAATGTCAGCAGAGAGGCTTCAGAAGGGCAAGCAGCATGAATTAAAGGAGCAAAAAGCGCTCTGCAAATACAGCAAAGACTTCATGTGTAACATGGTTTTCAGCACAACAGAAATACAGGGATCCCTGTACTTATTGTCATATTTCCTCGTGCAGTGGCCCGCTTGAAACACTGCTACAAAAGTCCAGAGGAGAGACAGCAAACACCTGCCTCCTGTCTTAAAAAAACCTAAAACAAAACACAAGTAAAAAATAATCTAATTTCTTACAAGAATGGAGCAAGCACACAACACAGTAAAGGTAAAAGCTGCAAAATATATGACCTTAGTCAAACTACAATTAGCAAGTATCAACTGTTGATGAGAGCAAAAATTTAAATACTGATGTCAAAATAAGAGATTACTCTTGTGCAATCTGACAACTAAACTCTACTTAATCATCCAACACATCACACTTACATTTAACAACATGGAGAAAATACTGCACGGCATGTTGGTACAAGCGGAAGGCTTCCTCATAGTTTCCTGCTTTATCTTCTTGTGCTGCCTTGCTAGCAAGGTCTATTGCTTTCTGCAACACAAACAAATAATTAATTACTGTACAAGAGCATTTTCCATGATCAGAGACCATTTCAGCTGTTACTGTTCTCTGATGGCCAGTTTTTCTGCTCCTCAACATTTACCCCCTCAAAGCTGGAGGCAATTGATTGTTATAGGTGGTGTTTTGTACAAGACACAATATTTCCATCCTTTCATGAACAGCAGAATTTACAAACTGCTGAAATCTACCAGCACACAAAAAAGTTTCTGTGTACTAAGCTGGAACTACTACTACCACTATGCAGTCTGTCTTACCAATCTCTTGCACTTTCTCATGGAAAGATTTGGAAATCCATTATAAAGCTTGGGGGCTTTTTATCACAGACACAGAAACTTTGAACTATGATACAGATATGCTGCTTAAGGTGTGGTTTAGGGGTGCACTTGACAGTGCTGGATTAATGGTTGGACTCAATCTTTTCCAGACTAAACAATTCTATGATTCTATGACTGATGACATCAGTAAACCCTGTAAACAGCCAAGTCAATACAGGAAGTACTTGATTACAATCACTGAAACTAGCACTATCACTCTTCAAACATTATGCTTGGAGACATCTTCAAAGACGAGTTGCTTAGCTTCTCTAGGAGGATTTAGATTCTTGATATTCTAGTGAGAAATTCTAATTATCACTCCACTGGGAGAGGAGAAAAAAAACCCCAAAACAGAGAGAGAACAAACCCAAATCTCAAGCATCAAAGAGTTCTGAGAAGCTATGAATGGATTTTTACTTTATTTGTTCAGCTAGTTTCAAATGTGGGAGAGGAGAAAAAAAAACCCCAAAACAGACAGAGAACATACCCAAATCTCAAGCATCAAAGAGTTCTATGAGAAGCTATGAATGGATTTTTACTTTATTTGTTCAGCTAGTTTCAAATAGATATGACTGAGATCTAAGCCACTGTATTGCACACACTGTCCTGTGGATTTATTGTATCACCACTATTCCATTGCTTGCTTACAAGTGCTTATTACTTTTTATTACACTTTCCTTCTTGGAATGCCCAGACCACTTCCAGACAATTAAAACTGTCATTTTGACCACCGGTTCATGTAAGTTGAAAGTAAGCAGCCAGCCAGAGTTAACCAACACCAACTAAGTATTCTATAGTCCCTCACCTATTTTTTCCCATGTGGTTCCCTCTCCATTGGTTCCCATTGCTAGTATGCTCAGGATGATTATGTAATGTCAGGCAGCAAGCTTAAGAGTTTGAACCGCAGCAAGGAACTTCCATTAGACATTCCAGTGCAGATTCTCTTGCCACTACCTACAGTCTGCTGTATTTCAGGCAGAACAAAGCTAGTAAACAATAGCCATGAAAGAAACAGCAAAATATTGCATTCTGTCTCTTTATGTTGCAGTCTTGGAAGCAAAGATCATCTCAACAGATCTACTTGAAATCAGAGGTATTTAAAAACAATGAACCAATTAAACAGACTATGGCTCTGTTGTGTCAAGTGCTGGAGCACTGTAAGCATCTGTTTTTTCAGAACAGAACCAAAGTCTTTCCTTTATGGAGAGGCTGGGAGCTCAAGAGCAGTTTCCCAGGTATGAATGGACAGCTGCCTCCTTGCTGCCCATTTCATGCTGACTCCCTTACTCACCTCTGTGCACCATTCAAATACAGCAACAGAGCAAAAATTAACCCCGAAAAAGTTATTTTCATATTAAAGTTCATAAGTCCCATCAGTGACTTAAATTACCACAGGGCAGCCCAGTAACTGTATTATTGCCCAACATCCAGGGCAACCCCCTGGATCCAGTACAACAAAGACAGTGATACTCGTGACATTAATTCCAAAGAATAAATGGCAAAGATCACCTGCTAAAACAGAACTGTGAGAAAACAAAGCATGTTGCAGACCAGTTCCTCTGAAATAGGCAAAAGTCTTCATCACGGTTTTGCTATACTCTCTCTTTGTAAACAGCCAAAGACTATTACCTGGCTATTAGATTCTCAGCTCTAATACTTCATTACATCAGCTGCATCTTAGCCTGTTACTGTGAAGAACACCACTGCTATCAAACAGAAAACATTATTAGAAAGTTGTGTGAACTAGGGCATAGATGACCAGCTCTAACCATCCCTGAGGCACAAACTATGTTGTACCAGGCCATGGGCTTATAGTTTGATGAACATCACCCAAGGAAAGAACGTCAGCTTAAAGAGGTGTCATGCTTATTATAAACCCTGTAACATCTCCTCTAGCTTTGCCAATGCAAACATCACACTGCCAGTGTAGACAAGGCATACAGAAATGATCACGGTTCAAACAGCCGAAGAGCAAAAGGAGTTGTTTGGAAGGCGCTTATTTCACTCCGGGGTCTTTCTGCCGGCCAGCCGCAGCCCCGACGACACCCGCGGAGCCGAGGCTTAGCGCAAGCGGAACAGCAGAGCAGGCAGGGCTGCCTACGGCCACCAGCAGCCTCACAACGCCAGCCGAACCACGCGTCCAGAGCGCCAGCGCTGCCCGGGCGGGCGCTAGGCCGCCGTGCCCGCGGGGACCCCTGCCCCGGGACTCCTGCCCGGGACCCCTGCCCGGGACTCCTGCCCGGGACCCCCTCACGCCCGGGGCGATGAGGGCCGACCCCGCGGGTTCTGCCACCGAGTCCCCCCCACGCCCCCCTGGCTGCGCTGCCCCCGGCCCGCTGAGCAGGGGCGTTCGCGCTGCCTGTGCCCCGGGACACCCCCGGCCCGGACAGCCCCGGCCCCGCTCCTTCCTGGCGCCGCCCCCCGCCCGCCGCCTCTTGCCGGGTCCGCCCCGCGCCGGGCAGGGCAGGGCAGGGCCGGCGTCGCTGTACCTGCAGGTTGCCGGAGTTGCCCGCCATGGCGCAGCGGCGAGGGGAGGCAGCGGGAGCGGCAGGAGAGTGGCGCGGGGAGCGGGCCCGGCTGCCGGTGGCGCAGCGCCCCTGCCCCGCCGCCCGCGGAGCCCAAAGCGCGGCCTCCGCCGCCGCTTCCGCACCGAGCGCCGAGCGCCGCTTCCGCCTCCGCTTCCGGGCACGCCCCGAGCGCCCGGCCCGCCCCGCGCTCACCCCGGGTGTTCGGGCTTGGAAGGGAGTCTGGGGAGCGTCCTGTCCCACCCCCCTCGCAGGGCAGAGTCACCTGGAGCAGGTGGCACAGGAACGCACCTAGGTGGGGTTGGGAATCTCCACAGGAGAGTCCGCGGCCTCCCTGGGCAGCTGGTCCCAGTGCTCTGCCTCTCAACGTGAAGAAGTTCTTCCTCGTGTTGAGGTGGGGCTTTTTGTGCTTTGGGTTATGGCCACTGATCCCCTCCTGCCGCTGGGCACCACCAAAAACAGCCTGGCACCGTCCTCGTGGCTCTGCCTTGGGGACATTTGTATGCTTTAAATAAGATCCCTCTCAGTCCTCTTTTCTCCGGATTAAACAGGCCCAATCCTGTTTAATCAATCGTGACGGAGTCATGGGCAAGTGTCACTCACCCGTGGGTTGGTGACAAAGATCAGGTGACACAGGATGCTTACGGAGTGGGGAGGAGGAAGTGACTCAACACACGAGCAATTACAAACCAGTTCTGGAAAGCCAGCTTGCTGTCTGGATGTATGGACATCTGCTAAATAAGTGCCATATCTTCCCCTCTGGTGCATTAATTCCTTTAGGGCAAAAAAAGTATCTGGCAAACTCAGCTGTAATAAAACCTATTCTTCCAACTTACCAGCTTTGACTTAATAATTCCAGTGTAACTTTTTTGATTTTATATTGTAATAAAAGTCCTCTGAACTTTTCTTGATACAGTACTCTGTACTTTTGTGTACTCTGGGCACAAGGGAAAAAGGCACATCCACAGTTCCCCCTGTACCAGGGAAGGTCGTGGTGAATCTCTTCATTATGTCATCTGGTTGGCAGTTTATTTTGGTAAGTGTCCTCACGAGCTGGGGATGCTTTGGTTGATTTTTAGACATGGTCAGTCACAGCTGTTCTCCTTGCATCAACTGCAAACGTGTAAAGACGTGATGTAGGAAAGTCATGCAATCAGGCTTTGGGAAATGAGACGGTAAAGAGAGTTTGCCCCTAAAGACAACTGAAACTGGCCAAAGTGAAAGGAGAGATGATGATTTCTAAAGGAACCTTACAGCTGTGCGGTCATCAGGATTCAAGCACAGCATCAGTGGTGGGAGGGGCTCAAGAAAACTGGGTTAAATATTGTATGTCTATTTCTTTCTTCTCTTCAAAGGATGAGGCAAAACCATCCCTTTCACTCTTTCATGGTTGATTATGCCATTATGAAGCCTCTGGGCTACTTTTAACCTCCTTTTTATTTAAAACAGGCTCCTTCCTTGGGGTATAATTTCCTTTTTGGCCTTACCTTCTCATTGTGGTTAGTGTAACAGAGTATTTTCAGATATGTTTCTGTTGCTAGCAATTCTGTGTCATCTGTACCTATGATTTTTAATTCTTTAATGTTACATTTAGATTTTAGACCGAGGTCTAAAACAATACATACCTCACAAGAGTGTAACTATGCTTCTCCAGTCACACTGAACTGGCTTCCAGAAGAAACTCCAGAAAAAATGACTGCCTTCTGCAAATGTGATTAAAGGAAGTAAATCAGAAAAGGCACCTCTGTCATTTACAGATAACAGGCTAAATCTTGCACTCTTTATTTAAGTCTTACTCATACAATATTCCTGCTATAATTTGACTTCGCAGCTAGTTTTGCCTGAGGAAAGACTAGATGAATGCTGAGTAATGACATCAAGATTATTTCTTGAGAAGCTAATGAAGTGTCATGTTAAGGGCATTACTTCAATTTGAGGGACATGTACAGTCTCATTATCCAATGGTTCCCAGTGTTGAAGTTCCTGTGTTACCATATTCTAAGAATGATTGTGTACAACCAAGTGTAATGAAAATAAAACATATTAAAGGTGTTAATATGGGTACCTGCTGGCCTGGATGGAACTAAGTCCATCCCATAACTGCCTGGGGTGTTATTGCTCGCATTGCTATGGCATTAGGTGGCACGGGCACTGGTGATCTGTGTTTCCTAAGGCTGAGTAAGCTGTTGTGGAGAATGCTTCCTGCTGCCATGCCTTGGTTTGGAGGGAAGGGCCCACACCGCGTGTTGCCTGGACACCTTGGGCCAAGGGTGGATGGTTACGTCAATAAAAGAAGTCATGCCTACGGCACAACAGGTGTCGTGTCTGTGATTCTGCCCTGGCAGCTGAGGGTGGCTAGGGATGACTAATGTTACCATCAGAGTGAGATTGGCATCAGCCAAATGACGTGAGAGCCATGCAGGTGAGGGAAGTGCCTTAGAGACCTTTACAGTGCAGGCAGACAAGGCAGAGAAGGCAGGAAAATACAGCCTCTGTTTTCCTGTAGTTCTCTAGCTGATGAAATGATGCTGAATCTAGTCAGATCAATCTGACCTAGGAAACGAAGTCTGTCAGTAGCAAGACTAGCAAGTAAAATTCAGGTTGTCCAAATTCCGTTTCAGCACCTCGATCCAGTTTGGTGTACACATAATGAGCTCGTGCACTTGGGACAGGACCTGCAAAGCACTCGTGGTGCAGCTGGGTCCCTTCTTTGAACCACGCTGGGCTGAAAAGCAGGAGCACTTCAAGCCACCAGTGTTTGGGAACCTTTCTACCTGTTACATAGTGCCTGGCCTGTGGGAGTCCTGCTGCTGTGGTATTCCCAGGTGGATGCTGCCATACATATCTCCTTTAAGAGCACTGAAACCACAGCAGCCTTATGGAGGAGAGCTGTGTCCTAAGAGCTCTTATTCCTAAAGCACTCGGTGCTCTGGGTGCAGAGAAGGTGTTGTGCAGCTATGGAGCCTAGGAGGGAAAGAATTAAAGCTGCATTCAGGGCCAGAAAGACTGACAACAAAATAAAGCCGTGTTACATTTATGGCATTAGAGACAAGAATGAGCTTTGGGACAAGACTTGAAGCACTGGGTTTTGAGGAGTTTGTGGTCCTCCGACTGTACCCAATCTTGGGGGTCTGAGGTGGATGATGACAATATTTCCTGCCATAGTACAGCAATGGGTGTGGTTGTACCTACCTGGAAAGGAAAACTTAAATTTGTCACTTTTGAACTAAACACTTAATATTTTTTAGTTACGTTAATTTTCACTCTACTTCTGCTTTAGTTTTTAAACTTGGAAATTCAAAATATGTAAATGCTTGAAGGCACACTGATTTCAAATCAAGTGTGCATATATACAAAAATGTGTTGTTTTCTGGACTAAATTTATTCCAGGCAATGGAATGACTTAGGATGTATATTTCTGAAATTCATATTGAGATTAATCCAGCACAACATGAAAATAGCCTATGACAATGATTGCAGGTATAACTCAGGGCACATTTTGGAGTTGTTAATTTGATCTTTTTTGACAGAGCACAGAAATAAAAACATAGCTTATTTTCTTAAGTTGTGAAATATTCCATCCATTGCTACTACTATGTTTTTTGAACGACATTGAACATAGTGAGTTTCAGGACTTTTTTTCCTGCTGTTACATGAGAACCAGCAGAAATTGTCACAAATAAAAAATGAAATCTGAAACAATGTTTTTATTAACATTACATGTGTTATCTTCAACGGCAATATTTGTCCTCTGTGAGCATAAGTCTGGAGATTTCTGAGGTTTTTCTCATCTTGAACTCAGCAAACAGGGACTGTCATGGGCATTCTATGTAGAGACCAAGGGCAAACATTTCACCTAGGTCTTTTCTGCATACCATTTCATTTGTAGGTCTTGATAACGTGTTGAGATTGAATGAAATAAAATCTCTTCTATGATGGCTTTTTGTACAATTGAGCAGATGTGGCCTCAGGGCTGTAGTGGTTGACTAATTTTCATTTAAAATACACAATTTTTTGCCAGGTGGAAACTGCCAGCTCTTTTACACATATATGAGTTCAGGGATTTTGTGCTTTGCATTGTTGAGTTTGGTGCAGCAGCATTTCTTTTTGAAACGTTTTCATAGTCACAGGACTTAACAGCCTTATATAGCCCTATTCACCTCAGAGGTTTTATTGTTAAAAGTTTAAAAAGTGCTCCCCAGCCAATGTTTCTTTGAGTTTAGAAATGTTCAGGTTTGGACTGTGCACTTTAGATTGCTTCATACTGCCTTCATTTAAATTTTTGATGACCTGTAGAATCATTGGAACAACTCCTAAGGATATTCTAGATGCTCTCATCAGCTGGGGGTTTGTTTTGATCACTGCCAGATTTTTCAAAAATATATGCTGTAACCCAAAGAGAAATCATGGGTCTCATAAAATTGGTAGATCAGGTTCTGCAACCTGTGTTATGAAAGTGTTCAAGCCAGCTGGTTGTCACAGCATGTGTCTCACTGTCTTAAAAAAGACACAAATCTGTGAGTTGACCCAGATTTTCTTTCCGTGCATCTCCCATGCAATAGAAAGTCTGTAGTGTTTACTGTTGCCAGAGTACCAGAAATCTGAATTGTGTTAGGCAGGGAGAAGCATAAAAGCAGTTCTGCTCCAGTAGGTCCTTTTTAAAGTATTACCAGACTCCTCTAAGCAGATGACAGGGGAATAACTTTTGCCATTCCAATATACAGCAGAATAACTGGACTTGGCTGTTGCAACACAGACATTCATCTGTATGAGTTATTTTTAAGACTGATGGGCTGCCTCTCATGCTTCCAGACTTAATTTTCATGCTGAATTCAAGGTGGCTTTTGCCTGTGTGACTGTAGAGAGCAGTGTTTCCAACATAACTGAATGGCTTGTGGTCTGAATGATTAAGGTGATAAAGGGAAAGAGAGCTGGTTTGGGACTAGACTAGCTGTGAGCTACTGCAGTGTAGTCTACACTAGATTCCTGAGCTAGAATTTCCCTACTGGATCCCTGTTTATTAATCCCTAAGCCTTTTAATTAGGTATGGAAAGGAGCAAAAACTGGATAGAGAGGTCATTTAACTTTCTCTTGATCCAAGCCACTCTTAGCAGAATAATTTTAATTTTAAGCAGGAAGCT